TATTATTATTATTATTTTCTGGGGATTGAACTCAGGGGTGATATACCCCTAAGCTATGCCCCTAGCCCTTTAAATTTTTTATTTTGAGACAGAGTCTTGCAAAGTTTCCCAGATTGGCCTCGAAAGTTATGATCCTTCTGCCTCAGTCTCCTGAATAGCTAGGACTATAGGCACCCATGCATCACTTCCAGCTTTGATCTTTATTTACTGAAAAATCTGATTCTAGCTCCTGTTGTTGAAATGGACAACGGGAAGGCTTGGAGCCACCCTAGAGTCTATCATGCACTAACTCAATAAGTATTTAAGGAGCATGTTCCAGGCATGTCAGGTTAATCAGAACTCGGATTAATCAGAACATCACTGGTCTTAATAGAGAGGTGGGGTCCTGGGAGCTCCTTGCTGTGAAAATCCATGACTATGTAGTTGGTGCAATGGACTAAATCACGTTCTCTCAAAATTTGAATGTTGAATCCCTAACTTCCAATGAAGGCTTTGGGAGGTGTTTAGGTTTGGATGAGGTTATGAGGGTGGGATCTGATCTGATGACATTAGTGCTTTTATAAGAAGAGACACCAGTGTGCACTTGTGGGCACTCTCTCTGTTTCTCTTTCATCTATCATGAGAGGACTTGGAGAAAAACAGCCAGAAAGAGAAATTTTACCAGGACAAAATCAGTTGGCATCTTGACCTTAGACTCCCTAGCTTCCAGAACTGGATGGAAAGCTTAGGGAATTGGAACACTTCCCAACCTCCAGAACCACCTGGACTATGGTCATTTTTTATGGCATCACAAACAGACTAAGGCAGTTAGAACCTGGAAAGTGCTGTGGGAGGTATATGGGGCTTTGGGGCAGTGGCTAGTCACCAAAACTGGTACAGAAATATTTCAATATTTTAACCATTGACACTAATCTACTGTGATGTATCAACACTGTTCATGGAGTTCACATTTTAATAAGAGACAGATAACATACAAAATAAAATAAAGAATGTGTCGAGAGCTGTTTTCTGGTATGGAAAAGAATAAAGTAGATGACAGGATTAGAAAGTGTCCTAGGGAAGCTGAAAATTTATGTTGCAGGAAGAAAGAAAGAGAAAGGCATGGTGCCCATCCTCAAGGGGCACTTGCCAGAAGCTGCACATACCGCTTACACTGAAAGCCTCTTGCTAGAGAGAAGATGGGAAACACAGTTACATTGGGAAGCATCCACCACTGGGGATGGAGAGAACTACTGCAGAGCAACAGACATGATCTGTGATTGGATTGTGAGGTGGAAAGAAAGATAATTTTTCAGGATCTGTCAGAATACAGCTCTCTTTTGCCTCTCACATTTGTGGATGTCTTGCGAACTGAGGTACTTGCTGCCTGGACTATCTTTCTAAGAATGTTTGTATAGCAAATAGTCTTAGAAAACAGAGGTAATGTCTCCCTCTGGAGCAAAGTGCAGGCAGCTTAGTGTCCAGTGTCATAAAGATGGTGTCTCCCGCAGAACAGCTCAGGAGACTTACCGCCCATTAGGAATCTAATTTCCCAAGCTCAGGGCTCTCTCCAGTGTGACCCCTGTGTGGGCAAGTGTCACCTGGCCTTCTTTGCAGTGACCTGTGGGGATTGTTGCTAAAGAAGAGGGCATGGGAATATATGTTTATTTAAATATTCTCAGATGACCAGGGAAAAATGGGACCCTTAGAATGGAGAGAGCTGGCAGATATCCACCTTAACAAAGTGATCAAAGTTAGCACTTCTCTATAATTTCACCTTTTTAAAAACAAAAAATTAGGGAAAATGGAAGGAAATTCTGGGACCCTGTGGAGGATGGATTGGAGAGAAGATGGAGCCTGCTTTGGACCACTGGGTTAGGGTCTCTGTCTCCTGATCACCTTCTGCATCACTCACCACAGTTACTCCCTGCAACAGCACCTCCTCTGTCCCCACTGTAGTTGGGCTTCCCCGGGCAGCCTGGCACAGGGACTAGCTTCTTGGGACCCCCAGCATTCCAGCTGGCATCTAGAGAGGAAAGATGTGTCAACCCAGCTGTTGGCATTGGCTTGCAATTCAAGTGACTGGGGAAAGCTGAGGCAGGAGAATTGCATGTCTGAGGCCAGCCTCAGCCACTTAGTGAGGCCTTCAGCAACTTGGAGAGACCCTGTCTCAAAATGAAAAATAAATAAATAAAAAGGGCTAGGGATATGGCTCAGTGGCAAAGCACCCTTGGGTTCAATCTCCTGTAAGAAAAGAGGGTGGGGAAGGAAAGAGGTGTCTAACCTCTGCTTCCTTTTGAAAAATAATGGCTCCAAATAGCTCAGCTGGGATCATGTGTCCACTCTTGAGTAAGAAAAGGGCAGAGAGAGAAGAGGTGTGCTTACGCACAGCATTGAAATAAACAAACAAAAAGAAACAGCATGGGCCTCAGGAGGTAAGGAGTGATTTGATCGCATGAAACTAAAGATACAAGGAGGGGCCAGGTGTGGTGGTGCATACCTGTAATCCCAGTGACTCAGGAGGCTGAGGCAAGTCTATTGCAAGTTCAAAGCCAGCTTCAGCAACTTAGAGAGGCCCTAAGGACTTAGTGAGACCTGGTCTCAACATAAAACATTAAAAAAGGTTGAGGATGTAGCTTAGTGGTTAAGAAACCCTGGTATCAAAAAAGAAAGAAAAGATACAAGGAGGGAGAATCACACACAGGAATACGAGGAGGAGAGAAGTAGAGGATTTAAGGGTGATTCCAAGGTTTCCAACTAGAGTGACTATAATGTACATGGTGAAGCCATTAACTGAAAGAGAACATAAGAAGACAAAACAGTTTGGATGCTGTTTTGAACTTGATTAACTTAGAAACTTAGGGGCATCAAGGGAGAGAAA